TTCATGTAGCTGACTTGGAAAGTTGTTAGGTTTTGTAAGCAGCCATTATTTGGGAAGTGGGAGATGCGGTGGCTCTGTGCACTGGACTCAGGGTTAAGAGGCCTTGGTTTGAGACCTGGTGATGTCATTTTGTGGTGTTCTTAGGAAAAACACTTTACTTTTGCAGTGCCTTTGTCCACCCAGGAATATAAATATGTACTGGAAAACTGTCAGGGAAGCCTCATGAAATGCTGGGGTGTAACCTTGAGATGGACTGGCATCCTATTATTAAGGAAAAGAGCCTTTTCTCCTACTAAGACTTTGGTTTGAATAAGCAGTGGAACTGACTCTGGATATTTGCAAAATATTGGAGATGAAGAAGAACCTAGGAAGAAGCTTGTAATGACCCCATAATAGTACCCAAGGACATGGCTGAAGGGGGTTCTGGGGTGCCCATGACCCTCCCTCCCTTTTTTAGCCCTTTTTTTAAAGTAAAACATGGCATGGAGGTGGACATGACAATCTAGTGGGTACCCTGTGTTTGACAGAGTGTAACCCCCCTTTGAAAAATCCTGGCAATGCCCCAGGTACCATTAGTGGTAAAAATTAGAATAAAAACTCAGAGAAAATACAAATCAAAGTTTGAACTTGTTTTCATCTGAAATTGTTTTAAACTGCAACATATTCTGCACTATTTTGCACTGATAAAATTTTTTTTCTTTTTTCCCTTTAATTTGCTTTCAGGTATCATGTTTGTCTGTGCTCGGCTTGTGGCAGAAGCAGTACAGAGTTACAAATATCAGCTGGGAGATGATTTGGAAAAGCCCCTATCCAGCCAGTGCATCATCACTGATGGAATTCGACTCTCATTTATAAACTACCAGCTGAACACCTTAAGTTTTCATGGCGATGAAGGCATAAAAAACATGGCTTGGATTAGTCCAGGGGTTTTCATGTACAAAAAGGCCATGTTTGAAGATTTGGAAAAACCAGTTGCAGAAAAAACTGTAAAGGAAAGGAAAAGATTCCGACGTCCAGTAACACTCAAAGATCCAGCAAAGCATGAAATAGTTTTAGAAGAGTTTAATCCTGACTGCTTTGAAACATTTGTAAAAATGATTGTAAATGGATGCAAAGCAATTTAACAAAAGTGTACACTAAAACCTTTTAATGAATGACTTTAAATTTAGACTCAGAGAGTTGATGTAAACAGTGTCTGAAGGGGAAATCTAGAGCTTTTATGAAGCTTATTATGAAGTATATACAAAGACACAGCACTGACACACCTTTAATAAAGTTAAAACTGATTCAATGATTGAACAACCTATGCTAAAAAACCTGTCTTCCTAACCCACCTTCTTGTTTAATTCAGGAAATTTGTTAGGCTGTCTTTCAATTAAGGAAGAAAACAGTCAAGAATCTTGAATTGATTTCTGAGACTAATACGCGTTTCAGACGACAAGTAGATGTGTCATAAGACTTATACATTCGCATGGGAAGGTCACCCCTGAAAGAACCTAATTCTCTTACTTTTGGGCGTGTGAAAATCATGCCAACCCTACTCTTTTACCAGGCTCTTTAAACAACAATTCCCCCTCTTCCCCCCTTAAAAAAGAGGGAAAGGCTCGTTCCTTCTCGGGCCTTCCAACCGGACGCTATCCCCCAACTCATCAACGGCCCTTTCTAGAATATTCCCGTGGTACCCCTCTCTAAGGCTAGGATTGGTCCCCTTCGTTTGTGGTGAATGTGATGACGTAGTCGAAAATTGCCAAACAAACTATGGCTACAGAGGAAATTACTGGGAATATTGAAATGGCGGCCGCTATAACCCCATCTTCTCACGTCCAACAAGCTAAAGAATGGCTTTGGCAGCGAAAAGCTCAGATGAAACCATGGACAGATTTTTTTAAGAGTTCGCGCTTTAGCAGGCCAAAGACAGTCGCCGAAGCTGGAAGAAGAGTCGTGAAGAACTTGGAGGACTACCAGAGCAACTACATCGTTATAACGCTTCTTTTGATTTTTTACTGTGTGTAAGTGATCTTGTTGCCTTTCAGTTATGTAGTTTAAAAAGAGAAAGAGTCTTTGTAGATATTACATACGTAATCTTTGCAATCGCGCTCTCCTAACTGTCTTAACTCAGTCCATGAATCTAAGAACACCTTACGAATTCGTTTTGTTGGTTCTTCTACCCTAAAACACCTCTTTGAAGAGTAAAGAATTTGAAGCTGTAAAAGCCCAGTTCTGTAAAGATCAACTAAACGTTTGTTGTGAAAGATGGATAGCACGACATTCGGTTGTACTCCGCTTGAACGGAATCGGTCGCGATCTTTAAGTATTTTAATGATTCAAGGTGAATTACAAAAAAAAATTTAAAAGAGATTAGTAGCCACTTTTAAGTTTTTTTTGTAAACAACCAGATTTTCTTTCTCGAAGCTCGCATTTTGAGCTCTTGATTATGCCATATGACCGGTTTATGAACTATTTTCTCTTCTAAAGAATAGGAATTAGAGAATTTCTTTTTTAACATTGCCTCAACATTATTGCTCAGTGACGTAAACGTGAAAAAGCAACGCTGTAGCACATTTTTCCATGCATGTCTCAATATCCATGCCTACAGAGCTGTAGTTCTTGTAAGATCTCATAATCAGTATATATTAAACCAACATTTTGAGAGGGAAACACCCAGCTGATGTGCAGTTTTCTCAGTGGTACTTACCTAAGAACACAATACAATAGCTTGAAGAGGGCCCAAACTCAGAGCTTTTTATGTGAGATGTGATGTACCAACTGTGTCTCTAACCTCCCTAGGGATAATTTTTTTAAGTAGAAAATAAGGAAACTCTATGACATATTGTTGAATTATCTTGTAATAATGTTCTGAATAGGTAGGGTGTTTTCTTATTTTATTTCCTTAGCCTGTCATCACCATTGCTGCTCATAGCATTATCAGTCGCTGGAGGTGGCTGTTTCTACATATCTTACAAAAACCAAGGACAAAAGATAAGAGTGCTGGGTAAGAATTCTTCATTGTTTGGTTAACAGCTTCAGTGGTACATCAAAGGGGAGAGTGTGGAAGGTCCTAAGGGTCCCGAAGGCACTAATGGCCTTGAGGGTTCCTGTCTGATTTCAGTGTTCCATGTCTACAATAAAACATATTGATGATTCAACATGTCTTGGTTTCATAGGTCGTGACCTGACTAGAGCAGAACAGTATGGACTTGTGTTGTTGATCAGTCTTCCCCTCTTCATTCTGGCTTCAGCAGGATCAACAGTGTTTTGGATTATAGGTGTGTATGCAATGTATTAGAACCCTTTTGACAACATGGCCTCTTAACTTACAGAGCTCTGGTTCATTTTTGTATTTCAGGTGCATCAATCGTTACAGTTGGACTACATGCATCTATGTTGAGCACTTCAGACACACCTGAAATAACAGAGCAGATTACAATGGAAGAAGTTTAAGTCAAGGAAATGGAAGAATGATGATAAAAAGTGCAACAGGGAAATAAAAACATAATAATTTAAATTATTGTGCTCCACACAATCATCAGTGTTAACAAATTGAAATAGTGGTTTGGAGTTCTTGGGGTAGAAATGCATCTGGTAAAAATGGTCATTGGATCAACTCTACCATTCATAAGATCTTATTAGTGATTCTCCTTACTGTCCACTAGACAATTCTTACGATGTTAGTTAGGAAAATTTGGTATTGGATAAACTTATAGGTAATCTTGTAGTTGATATTTTCTTTTTTCTCATCACCTGTCTGCCTGAGATTGTACTGACATTGTAAGGAGAAAATCTGTCTTGATCACTCATAGGAGTTGAAGGGTTGACTAATCACATTTCCTGTAGTGAACTTCTTAACTATAGGCAATTTTTTCTCTTATAAATCAATTGTAACTATTGTTGAGTGTTAGCTAACAAGACCAAAAACCAGTGGTGGAGATGTCATAGTAAGAGTTTATTTTATTTTAGTGCTTAGTCCCTAGCTATTTAATATCTTCTACTGAATTTTGAGCACACTTATCCTTTGTTTAATTTTGTTTTTGATAAGTTGGATGTACTAAATATGATGTCTAATTATTACACGTAGTAATTAGTTAAAAACAAAAGTAATAAAAGTTGAATCTGCTCGAGAGTTACATTCAACCTTGCTATACCATTATATTTATGTAGTTTGGTGTTTTTTTTTTTTGGTTGTAAAATTTTTCAAACCAGGTTGTTGTTGACGTTTTAAGAGTATCATAGTGAATGTAAGGAGATGTGGTGGGCTAGTGGTTATGGTGCTTGTCTTGCAATTACAAGATCTTTGTTTGAATTCTGGCTGATTCACTGTGTTGTTTTGTCAGTTACCACACTGACTTCTTTGCCCCTCTCTACTTAGCACTTAAAATGAGTATACATAGTCTATTAGGAAATCCTGATGGAATGACAAGGGTACCACTTTGATGAACTTGCGTCTTCCCTGGTGGGAGCAACAAAACTTGCAGTCACTTCATGCTACTGAAATAAGTATAACAGTGGCTCATCAGAGCCCTAACTAGCAATTAACATTTGGGTTATGTAAAATTTTACACCTCTGAGGCAATGAAAAGTATCAAGAATCATGGGTAGTACAGGGGAGAGGTCTCAGGGTGCATTTGACCCCCTTTCTGAAATGAAAACATGATGACTTATAATCATAACACAACCTGACATACTTACACATTCCACTGAAATGCAAGGTTAAAACCTATTAAAAAATCCTCTCTACACAAGTTGGAATTGTTGCCTATAGCATGTGGTTAAAATCAACCCCCATACAAATAAAGAAGGAATACTAAAATTGCAATAAAGAAAGAGACCTAAAAAATATGACGGTTCTTTGTGAAGTGTGCTTCAACAGCGAGTATGATTTATTTACCTCCTCTCTGTACCACCCCAATACCTTTTCGACCAATAACTACTCTGCTACCTCCCCTAAAGATATATTTGAACATTATAACTTTTTGGTGGGAATGGGTACTAATTTGTCAGAGAAGGAGATTCAAGATGGCGGCGAGTGTCGTTCGTCAGTGTGGTCGCCATTTTCTGGGCAAATCATTAATCCGCCGTGTTCCTGTTGTTTCTTCTGTCCGGTAATGTATGAAATATATTTCCTACTTGACCTGAGATGTTCAAAGTGTTGCCAACAAGGCAAGAAATGAATATAAATGATGTTATGTAACAGCGTATAACGTTAGTGTTGTTTTGAAAGGATATGCTTCCTAATGTTGATCGCGCATGAGCGAATGTTGCATCTAATTTTCAGGTTATATATTTCTTTATGACATAAGTACTTTTGTCTATTTTTCTGCTCTTCCCTGCAAAAAGAAAGAACAAAAACAAACTGAACCACATTAAGTATCTTAACCGGCTGATATTTGTCTCAGCTGTACGAATCCCTTTTTAAACCTCTAAAAGTATTGAACATATCATTTTACAGGGCTTTACGACTGTTTTTTTATTCTATTTTGTGCAGACATCTACGTCGGCTCCCTGTAAGTGAGGTTGAAGAGGAAATGAAACCGCTGAAGTTGCAGGGCGAATTAGCCTCCATGGCAGGAACTATTATGTACCCTAATGAAGAATCTGCTAAGTGGGATGTTGATGGTACGGTATTAATATTTTTAAAACTCTTACACCTGGAAGTGACTACAGTAGCATGTAATTTATCATTGGGATTCCAATATGTTATCTTGCAAGCAGGATGTAAAAAAAGACAAGCCTATCAGCTGGAGGGTGTTATATTGATACAAGACCAAATTCTCCTTTTTTTTTATTCTTGAGGAAATCTTTGGCAGTCAGAAGGGAGAATTGCTAGTTGGATCTTAGGTTAAAGGGTCAAATGTCAATGAGGATGGTGATGCTTAAAATGTTGAAATGTTGAATTAGACATTGATGTTAATGTTGATATCAACGATGGCTATGCAAGCTCTAAAATTTTATGGTAACAATCATTTCTTGCCAGCCACAACATTATTGATACAACATTTATGATAAGCTTGAACCTAAAATTCATATTGAGACTACTGGTAATTTAAAAAGGTTCCCACAAATTTTCTCACAACCAGGAAACTGTTCCCACTCTTATCTCTGGGCACAGAACTGAAAAGTTGTTTTCTGTAGAATTTTGAATCTTAGCTCTTGAAAGTTTCAGTGATGCTGACAATTCTTTCTTTTCACTCTGTAGTTCCTATTCAGGAAAAGCTGGTTACAAACATGACAGTCAACTTTGGTCCCCAACATCCAGCTGCCCATGGAGTGTTGAGGCTTGTTTTGGAACTTGATGGAGAGGTTGGTAAACTTTTATCATGATGATTTAAGTTTTTCATTGAACGTAAACAGTTATTCTCATGTAAAATGAGCATTGAATGACAATATATGCACAAATCCATTGTAAATCTGATGTGAATATAAAAGAAGTAACCAGAGCAGTTAATGATGCCATCTGAATGAGACCAATGAGTTATCAACTCTTTCTGTCTTCTTCTCTTTCCTTTTCAGGTGATTATGCGTGCAGATCCACACATTGGTCTTTTGCATCGTGCAACAGAGAAGTTGATAGAATACAAAACATATCTGCAGGTGTGTATAGAATTAAAGTTGTTAAATACTGAACTGTGTATTGTACCATTCAACTCAGTTAGGCAAAGCATCAAAGCTGTGGATGAAACCCTAAGAATGCTGTTTAGTTGTGCCATGCATATTCTCTATACTGCTCTCTACACATTTCCCAAGAAGAACCCTTTAACTCCCAAGACCCCATTGTAAGTTCTCACCTCTAGCTGCTATACATTTCCTTTTGAATTAGTTTGGAGAATTTGCTGTTGGGTCAAGACAACAACTTCAACCTGATAAGTTTGAGAATTCTCATGAATGTTTTGTTGTATAATGTATGGATATGATAAGGAGAAGTTACATGTTAATCACTTCTGGGAGTTAAAGGGTTAACAGTCAAGAACTTCTTCATTGGTGATCATTTCCTTTATCCTTCTGACCTTAATGTATTCAGGGGTGATATTGTGATAAGAAATCAGATGCTAATCACTCTTAGGGATGAAAAAGTTAAAACCCAAGCATCTATATACATATTCTTCATACTGCTCTCTTTATTTTTCATGTGGTACTGACTAGGAGAATTTGTTGGACAATCAAGAGGTTTTTTTAGTTGGCCGTAATTCTTTTATTCTCCTCACCTTTATGTTGGGTTTAGTAGTGATACTGAGAGGAGAAATTAGATGTTAGTCACTCTTAGGAGTTAAAAGGTGAAAGTGGCACTGTTTTTTAGTTCTGCACAAGGTGGTTACAAACCCTTTGATTTAATCATAATGTAGTTGTCTTAATTTCTTTGTTAATTTAACCTTTTTTTGGAGTGAAAGGGAAAATTCTCATTTTTATGTTATTAATAATTTTTCAGGCCCTGCCTTACTTCGATCGCCTGGATTATGTCTCCATGATGACAAATGAGCAGTGTTACTCCTTGGCAGTGGAGAGACTTCTTAACATCGACATTCCAGAAAGAGCTAAATGGATTAGAGGTACACTGTACATCTAAGGCCTGTCTCAGTAGCTAACCCTTGAGGTATTCTCGGAATACAAACAGGTTGTTAGAACATGCATTCAAATTAAGGATGTTTAGAAAATTGCTAGAAAAATTCTCAGAGCTCTTCACAGCTAAAATTGAACTTATTAAAGGGCACTTTCTTTTTTTTCTGCACCATCCTTCTGCTCCATTAATCTACTGCTAAATTTTGCATATAATTTGTTTCCTTTTATAGTGTTATTTGCAGAGATCACCAGAATACTGAACCACATCATGGGTGTAGGTACTCATGCTCTTGATGTAGGTGCCATGACACCATTCTTTTGGTTGTTTGAAGAGAGAGAAAAGGTGAGTGTAATCAAAGGACTGACAGAAGGGATTAGAAAAAAAAACATATTTATCTACAATGGATGTAATAAGACATCTTTTATTATCAGGAATGTCAAAATAACCTATCAACCAGCACATTCCATTGTCTACACTGGTTATTCCAAATGCTTGTGACTCAATTTTGAGGCTTTAAATACTTAACAAGTATTCTCTGAAGTGGGGAGAATAGTGGTGGATATTTACCTTGCATTGAAACACAGCAATATACCAAAAAATAAGCAGAGCTATGATTTTGTCTCATCACTTGCTCCAAGGTGAATAGTACTTCTAATTCACTTCCTTTCTAGCCAATCTGATACTTCACTTACCTGATATTGCGATAAGTTTTGGTGAATACAATATGTGATCCAGTTTTGTAAACAGCGTTTGTTAGCACAGTTTAAATTTGCTTTTCTAATCTGAGCTGGTCAAATATGTGATGTTTATCACTTAGTAAGCTGCAGATCTTTCACTCCCAGCATGAAATGTTAAGGATTTGATTTGGTCTTTCTTCAGTTGATGGAATTTTATGAACGTGTGTCTGGTGCACGCATGCATGCAGCCTATGTAAGACCAGGAGGAGTTTCCCTGGTAAGTTCATAATAACACTCTTCGAGTTAATATTTGACAAAATAGGAACAAACTGTAATGATTTTAAGATCTTCTTATGGACTGTTGTAATGCTGATAAGTATCTTGCACATGCTAATAAAATGGAATTATTGTCATGCACAAATGATTATTATTTTTTATCAGGATATGCCAATTGGTTTAATGGATGACATTTATGACTTCATTTCAAAGTTTGCTGAGAGAATAGATGACCTTGAAGAGGTAATTTTACAACAAATCCAGCAATTTCATCTCTTGACGTTTGAGGCTAACGTGCAAAAGTCAGCTTCAGAGACTCTAAATAAATATACATTTCAAATTCTTCAATACATTTCTTGGACACAAAACATTTTAGTTTGGTAGAGCACTGTTGAATGAAATTGAACAACATGCTGATCTTGAGTTTCCAAGGAAATCAGTCCTTTTCCCACATTACGCTTAAAAACTGCAAGTAACTTCCTGAAATCATAAAGGAGAAGAGAAATTGAGAGGAGAGAAATTCAGTGGGTTTGCCTCTTATTGAAAATCAAGATTACTTGTGAGTTAGTGAAAGGTTCTAATGAAGTGCAGAAGTTTAATTTATGTAAGGAGGAAATGCTTTATTATGAAAGTTCGTTTTGACTATTTCAGATGTTGACAAACAACAGAATCTGGAAACAGCGCACAGTTGATATTGGAGTGGTAACAGTGGAAGATGCTCTTAATTGGGGTTTCAGGTTTGTGAGATTTTGTCACCTGACATTGTACATACAGTTTAACCTGTATCAAGAGTTTATCAATGCTTGGTTAGCTTTTATTGGTTGAGCACCTATCTAGAAAGTCCAAGACATATAGTGGCCTCACAGTTGGCAGGCCTCCACAGCAGATAACCCTTTAACTCCCATGAGTGACCAAGACAAAATTTATCCTTACAATAGCAATGCAATATCAAGCAGACAAGCAATGAGAATAAAGAAAAATTTATCAGCTAGGGGATCATAAGTTGATCCAATACCAAATTCTCCAAACTAACATCACAAGAACTGTATGACAGACAGTTAGGAGAATTACTTATGAGATCTTGGGAGTTAAAGGGATAAGGTTTATGATTATCTTTTTTTTTCCTATAGTGGAGTCATGTTGCGTGGATCTGGAATCTGGAAGGCTTATGATTGTCTTGTCTTTTTCTTTCCTATAGTGGAGTCATGTTGCGTGGATCTGGAATCAAGTGGGATCTGCGAAAATCCCAGCCGTATGATGCCTATGATAAAGTGGAATTTGATGTTCCCATCGGCAAAAATGGAGACTGTTATGACAGGTGCAGTAAGACTTAAAAAAAAAACTTGAGTGTTGAGAGAGTACTGGTGAGGCAACTAACTGAGAATCAAAAAGTTTGACTTTTTGTTTCATTTGGTGATTGAAACCATTTCAGGTATTTGATCAGAGTGGAGGAAATGCGGCAGAGTTTGAGAATTATTGAACAGGTGTGTCACTATAAGCCATGTCACGACAATTTAGAAAATGCAGTGCAGTTGTCATAAGGCAAATGCCTCTCCACAAATGGCCATTGGCATCTAAGTTAAACAATTTTAAGAGGCAAATCAATTAAAATGTTCCTGCCTTCTTTTAGTGTCTGAACAAGATGCCTGCAGGAGAGATTAAAGTAGATGATGCCAAAATCTCACCACCAAAGAGGGCAGAAATGAAGGTAATGATAATATTGCTATCATTGGAATAACAGTTATTTGTTGATCATGGTACTTAAATACAATAATGATGATGGTTCATCATTTGTCTTTCTGTGTAGTTACTCCTGACACTATATTCTGGTGTGCGGCATTGAAATTTTTGTACACTTGAAACCTGTATTGCTGTAAGGATTCGATTTAGTGCCTGGGGCATTTATTCACTTATTGCACTTCTAGGGAGGGCGCTTATTCAAAACAGAGCGCTTATAAGGGACTGGGCACTTTTTTTTTTTTCTTTTCTTTTTTTTTTTTTGAGAAACAACAGAATGTGCAAAAAAATTGAATTGAATCGGTGTTTATTTTTAAAAAAATACATGAAAAATTTCTGCTTTGATTTTTATTGACTTCTGCAGGAGTCTATGGAAGCACTTATTCACCATTTCAAGCTCTACACGGAAGGTTATCAAGTGCCACCGGGTACAACATACACAGCGATTGAGGCCCCTAAGGTACGAACATCGCGCGCTAGCTTTATTTGATATTTTTGTAGTGTTCTGTTGACACTGCAACGCAACTGTGATTATGAACTTTACAACCCTGGCTAAAAGGTCTTGGGACGTCCTTAAAAACACTTGCAAAGGTGCGCGCGTTAATGATTGTCGCACAGAGATTACTGCGGCTTAAAGTGAAGAGAGAACGAAAGTGGTGATATTAGAGGTGATTCTTTTTCCCTGGACAATGTTGATTGCAAGGGTTACTATCCGAAACGACTGACAACAACATTGTAAAAAAAAAAGAACGTGACAAACGGACCTCATACCGGAATTGACCGGCTTTGCGCGCGCGCACTCTCACGCGCGCACTTGTTCCTCAAGGCCTTGGCATTGATTGTACTATTCTTGAGGTAAATTCTTATTTACTTAAAGCGTTGCGCAAAGTCTTTCCCTTCTCCTCGTTGCCCAGGAGGGAAGTTTGTGAGAGAGACTGACCTCTCGTGTTAATGACGAGATGGATTGTTAGTAAAAGGGGTGCTTCTTTTCTTGTTGTCTGTAGGGAGAGTTTGGTGTTTATCTTGTTTCGGACGGCACTAGCAGGCCTTACCGCTGTAAAATAAAAGCTCCTGGATTTGCACATTTGGTAAGTTGGTTTTTCATCTTGGTTCAACTGGAAGTCTTTGTTGAGATATTCATTTTTCGTGGGGTAGAGTAATTTTAACCCTTTACACCCTAAGGTCAGTGTGCATATTCTCCATACTGTTCTAAGTATATTTGTTAAGGTGCTGACAAGGAGAATTTGTTTAACAATCAAGAGCTTCCTTAGTTGGTGATCTTTTTTTTTTTTTAATTCTCGTAACCTTTATGTGTGGTTCAAGGGTGATATTGTAAGGAGAAATTAGATGATAGTCATTCCAAGGGGTTAAAGGGGTTAAGCGAGTGTCGAAGGTAATGCAGGATTTCCATGTTTCAGCTATTCTTCGTTCTATGATTGGTCTAGAAAACTCGCGCCACTTTTTCAACCAATCAGCTTGAAAACTAAAAACCACATTTATCACATCCTGATTTTGTCATTGCAGTTATATTCGCCCATAAAACCTTTCTGATTTTTTTTGTCATCTCTTATCTTCAGGCTGGTTTGGAAATGATGTCCACTGGACATATGTTGGCTGATGTTGTGGCCATTATTGGTAAGCGTTACCCACAATTTTTTTATTCCACTTGTTGGCTTAAAACCATTCGCTAGCTTTTACGCTCGTAAAAACGCCTAGTATGCGTATTGCAATATAATTTTGTTTTATCAACTGAGTAGATAATGTAAATTGGCCACCGTGAAGGGTTACCAAGTAGACATTTCGAGCGTGAACCCTTCGTCATAGCGAAAGGGCTAACGAAGGGCCAACGAAGGGCTAACGAAGGGCTAACGAAGGGCTAATGAAGGGCTAACGAAGGGCTAACGACGCTCTGCCAAAGGGCTGACGCTCGGAACGTCGAAACGTCAGTATGAACTCCTTACGGTGGCCAATTTTCGTTATCAACTCAGTTGATAAAACAAAATTACCTAATTTTAGATTAGTTTTGACACCACGAAACTAAGGGGTCTCAATAAAAGCTGGTTACCATTACTCTACCGCCGCCTATAAGGCCTCTTATCGCTGTCTGTTGAGCCTGCGAGCACGCACAGGTTTGGGTTTCGCTCTGGCACGGTTGCCTGTTAAACCATCGGCAGCCGCTAAAAAGAAAAAGTTATTGAAACCCCTAAAATTGCTCTGAATTATTTCCTTACGCACATGCTTGGTTATCTCACGCATTTTTTTCCCCTTTTTTTATGTCTCCACAGGCACCCTTGATGTCGTCTTTGGAGAAATCGATCGCTAAGCTCCTTAGTAATCGGTAAAATTAAGGTTTTCTTGCATCAGATGGTTAACTTTACAGCATGTCTTTATGACGTACTATATTTTTTAAAAAGTTAAGTGCATATGTTGAATGATATTGTGTGCTACTGTCCGAATTCTGGTTTTCTTAGAAGTTTTATTGTTTTCATCTCTGCCCCTCTTTGTATTAAGGTGGAAAACTATTATCTGCAACTTGAACACATTTCTTGAAAACGCGTTTCACATGGAGAAATGGTTGCGTGACGACTCAAATTACATCTGTGAAGGACATGAATGGCTGTCAGTATAACTTTGTAAAATAGAAGGAAATTTCAATAAACAACCTCTTAAGATAAATGGCATTTTATTGAATTCTACATATTTTGGCGCCTTTACTGTTCTTTTCATTCTTTTACTTGTCAAGGAAGGAATTGTTGAGCGTAAGAAAAGACTGCACATTTTTCTGTGTAACAAAATGGCTCACAGAAATTACACTTGTTTCGTAATCGATCGCAAGCAGAAAAATAAACAATTTTTTGAAGGTAATATTATCAAGATGGGCTAGAAACTTGAACAGGAACTTTGGTGAAAGAAGAACCTTATTTTAGCTTTATTTTCTAAACAGCAACCGCAAGGTTAAAAAGTCAAGGAAACAATACTATTTGTAGAAAATCTCTTTCGTTATTAAATTTTTAAGTAACAATTTTTCTCTGTTCCCTTTGTATTCTTTTTGTATTCACTCTCGGTGCGTGAGATTTAACAAATTAGCTAATCGCGTCAAAAAACCCTATCCTTGACATTGGGAAACCGACGTGGACAGTTTTCGTCCACTTTTGTTGATTGTTTTCACGGAGTTCAGTCAGTTGATTTTGAGTTTTCATTCGCGAAAATTTGTTGCCCCTTTGTTTGGAATTTTGAGAAGTTTTGGAGTTTTTATTTTAGCTAAATGTTGTGGTTCATTTAAAAAGTTTATACATATTTTCTACGGAGTTTGGATCCTAGCTTCTCTTCTCGTAATTGGATTTTTTGTCTGAGGAACTACCTGTGTGGGCCTCGCCTTGAACAACCTCGAATTTCGTACTCAGTCTTACTGTAACAGAAGCTGATTCGTTCCCAGTTGTCTCTCTACTTTTAATCAATAACGGGAGAAAAGCGCGAGAGTTGCGCATGGGGAAAGAAAAGGTGCTTTCCGTTATCTCTTCCTCCTTCCCAGTCTCCTTCGTCTTGGCAATGCCAGTCTCTTGCAACTGCATGTTGTGTGCACAACATGGTGAATAAATTGCTTCTAGAAAATGACGGTTGGTTCGTCAGCAATAAACCTGCACAAGAACAAATTGAAAAAAAAGTTCGCTGTGTTGCGCACGCTCGTAGTAGATCACCTTGACAACATGACATCACAATGCCGGAAGGAGAGAGCATCTTATCAGATCATCTCGACAGGGGAAATGTGTAGCTTGGGGTGAGAAACACTCCTAGACCGTCGTATCCTCTATCAACACCTCGTTCTTACCGGCCATGACTGTGCGAGAGGCGAACCATATCCAACTTGGAAAGTAAGAGTGTGGTGTACGGAGAAGCATGAGATGAATTCTCGTCATCAAATCCTGTTTTTTAATCCTCTACTTTATCGACATCATATACTTTGCCTAGTTCTTTAATCACAAGAAGGTGAGTAAAGCATATTTCCATTTAAATGGCCTCTTTATCAAAGTCAGAACTCGAGTGCTTTTTCTTCAGGAAGTCCTCAACTCGTTCAAAAATCAAACCAAAAGATTCTCTCAGTCACTGATTAAGTCAGTTTACATGGGATCATTTCGAAGTGAAGCATTTAGTTTGCGAGCATTACCAGTGGTGCGGAGACGAAAGAGAGCCACACCTTAGAGAGCTGGTTTCCTCAGATATTCAGAAGCAGGGAGTTTGAGATGCCACGACGGCGACCCCTGGAAAAACCTCGCTTGAAAATGCATTTACATTTCTTTGAGAAATTTTGATAGTGGCTGGATTTCTCAAATGGCCTCAGATCTCCCGTGAAGCATATCATGTGATCGAATGTAACGTTGAGGTCAAAGTTAAAAGTGAGTAATTTATCATCATGGCACCTGTTTTCAGATTGCGCAAATTTATGATGTAACGTTAATTCTTAGCATGGGATGGATTGAAACCATTTCCTCAGGCTGTCAATTTTTTAGGAAATGTTCCAAGGTTGGAAATGTACGTTGACCATTTTTTGTGCATTGAAAGTACTATTTCCAAGCTACTGTATCGCTCATTTAATATCTTATTTCTCTAAGTTTGTTCGCATTCGTGGTTTCCTGAATGCCCATTTCTACGCATTTGTGTATTCAATTTATCCTGCTCTTCTCCTGTGACACTTTTCATTTAAAAAATTTCCCAAGGGCTTACGTTTTGCACTCTATAGAGAAATCACTTGTTTAGGATTAGCAACATCAACATAAACAAAAGCACACTTGGGTTCTAATCTGTTGTTCTTATCCTCTTGTCCAGTCCAAAGTCCTACAATTTCGTCACGTGTGTGAGTCTGATTAGAACCCGTAATTTTGTTCCATCTCAAAGGGAGAACACTAAACAGAGCTGTACCGTGATATTTTTTCTTACGCAAAGAAAATTTGATGAAACTTTGTTTTTAGGAGCGTAAGTTACGCGGAAGATAATCCCAAAAAAGTGATAATGTTTCGGTTTTCTTGCATTGTTTAGGCGTCCTAACTAAAAACATGCCTCCCGTTGCGGTGAATTATTTCAGCTGTCTGCAATATTCCCTTGCTAAGTGGCTTGTAGGGAGATTTTGCCAACGCAAAGGACATTGACGAAAACTGGAGGCTTAGCAAGATTAGCGACTGTCGTTTTAATCGAGTTTGGTTAGTGTTGGGGTTTCAAAATGGCGGACACAAACGAGGCTCTGGAGAAAATTGGCTTAGGTGACTACGATTTTTTACCTCTTCTCTTTCGACACTTAAAACGAATCCTTGCAGACAATACAGATTATTTTGAACAATACACAAGTAAAGAAGTCTATAAAAAGCTCTACAATGGCTTTAAACTGATGCTATCAACCATTGATTCATTGGAAGAAGGAGCAACTTTGCTGGCGAAGACAGCACCCTTATTCGACTACAGTAACGACATCAAGGGAAATGGCTACAGGAGTTTACTTAGACTTGTCGAACATTGCCTTCATTCTGTTACAGAACTATCTGCCTATTGCCAAACTCATCGAGATAGATTTTATTTTCGATCCCATCACTATAGCTTGGAAGTCGAAGCTTTCGCCAATGTTTTTCAAAGGACGAGCGAATTGTTGCACTTTGCCAAGATCGTGGTAGAGGACAGTGTGCCAGACAACTTATTTCCAGAGAACTTTGACTCTAAAGTCATGTTGGAAGTTGAGAAGTTGGATAGAGAGTGCTTTTATGGTAGAACGTTGGGTTTTCAGGTGAATATTTACGAGTGATCTTTAATAAATATTTGGGTTCGCTTATCTTTAGTTCACTTAACTTAAAGTGGTATTACCAATGATTCGTTTATCAATAAATTTAAAACCGTAATGAATGCTTGACAAATTCGAACGTCAAGACGATTTTCTTGTCTGATAATAAATTGAAACTTTCAATTTGAATCATAATCTCTCTTAAGCATTATTTGTCTTGTTTTGTTTTTATTATTAATATTATCACCTCTTGTTTTTATTCTGCTCTCCCTCAAAAATAGAAAAATGGAAGGAATTATTTACCAAACAGCAGATTCAAAAATATTGAAATAAGACCTGATACAGTAAATGATATTGATAAGATAATTCTGCCTGTATTCCACGTATATTTATAATATATTTCGGGTGAATAATAAATTTCTGGACTTATATTTAACATGAAAACTGGGAGTTGCCTAGAAATTCTATTTAAGCTACTTGAGCCACAATATCATTAACTTTTCAAAACAAACCTAATTTTGTATATGGTACATTTGATATATTCAGTTTCCACTCAGCAAATCATGATTATTTTTAGCTTTTGTATCAAGAAAACTGATTTTACTACTTAGAAAATAGGTTCTTAAAATGTTTTCTTTTAAAAATGAAATGCTCTAATATTCATCATCAGTTTTCTAGTGGTATGCGGCATTTCTTACAAGTTGTCTGTGTGGCAATGGCATCATTTGCCGAGGGTTATCATCGTCACAAGCAGAGCAGCATGGCATGTGCTACAGTATCTTTCTTAAACAGTGGGAAATACACTGTGAATCCTGAGATGAGAGCCAAGATGATTGTAGATGTGACACAGAAAACTAACATGGAATTCTGTAAAGCCTTTTGGAGTTTGACTGAAGGTTATGGACTTCAGGTATTTCCTGCAGCAGAATGCTTTCCTCTTACTCAATTAACAATTGGTTCATATGTCAGTGTGCATTCATCAAGATGTGAAGCACACAGGAAGTTTGGAGAGCATGAAAGAAGCGTAAGAGTTGCTCGAGGTATAGCCAAGAGCAACTCTAGCTTCTCGAGTGCTCTCCAAACTTCCCAAGTGCTTCATATCTTGATGAATTCACAGCTGACGTATGAACCAATTGTTTTATAACATTTTCAACCCGATGAAAAATTTTTTTTCTTGAGGGACTTGTTTGCTGACGTCATGAGCATACACATTAGAAATATGAAGCACACTCTCACAATTGAATTTAGTTACACAAATTTACTAGCTATGTTGTAATACTATTTTAAAAATGGGGATATTGTCAATTGTGAGAGGAAAAAGTAGAGTCTGGCAGCAGTCTTACTGGTCAGTAAACACTACATTTTCCTTATTTCTGGTGGTTTTGTCTCAACTCTGTATATCGTGCTAATTTATTCTCAGACTATTGTCAATTTTCCCCAAAATCTTGAGTTAGTTGGAGTCAACTGTAACAGAGTCAAAGCTGTGCTTTTTGAAGAACCACTTGATGCCTAGATGCTCTCCTTTTATAGCATATTTTTATGACGTTTTATAAAACCAATAAAGTAGGTATGGGAATTGTTTGAATCTACAAACTGCCACTTTTGTAACCAGAATGTTTTGTTGCACTTCAGCATGTGCCACTGCTTGTTTGTTCTGCAATGAAAGTGAACAGGGTGTTCTTTATTCCTCCGGAGCCATTTGAACTTCAGATGTTGACTGGGGAGTCTGTGAGTATTGCTCCACCCTGTTCTTGGTCTGGTCTGGCTCCAGTTCAAGTGCGACTGTTGTCGTATGAATGGAGAGAAGGGCAGGTATGAGCTGATTGTCATTTACTGTTGAAAATTTCAAATAGCCAGGGTCAGAGGTTCATAAAAATTTTCAACCCCTTGAAAGTGACTAGCATCTAATTTATCCTCACAATAGCACCCCTGAATCACACATTTATTTAAATAAGTCATGAGAATAAAGGCAATGATCATTAAGAAAAGAAGCTCTTGATTGTTGAACAAATTCTCCTTGTCAGCACCTAAGGAAATGTATAGAGAACAGTATGGAGAATATGCATACTGATATTAGGGTGTAAAGGGTGAAAAATAGAATAAAATGACAAAAGAATATTCTCAACTTTTGAATAAAAAATGCCTCAGTAAATTGAAATAGAGAAGGATAATTATTCACATTCTAATGTGTAATGCACACATTGTAATGCACACATTAATGTCTCATTGGCTTATTCTGTGCTTCAGAGTAAAGATGGAA